CAGGGTTTCTGGTTCGGGTAGAACTTCATAGTCCTGGTGGTGGTGACATCATTGACACACTTGCTAATGTATCCAAGGACAGCAGATGTGTATTCTAAAGAAATGAGGGATGGGTTCACAATTTTGCACTGTACAGTAAGAACAGTCTGTTGTTTTCCTGAAATTGTCTGACCCTCCTTCTTTGGTGCTTCAGCTTCTTTTTTTATGCAAACTCACATTTGTTTTGTCAGCACAACACTGACCGCAGCAGTCATGACTTTACTAATACAGCATGTATAGTGTTGTAGTCTTTACATTTATTGATGAACTTCTCTAAATTAAAAAAAAATAAAATAAAATAAAACCTTCTCTAAATTTTGGATTTGTTTTGATCAGTTTTGGGTTTTTAAAAAAAATTTGGACAGTTACAACTCTTAAGAGTCTCTGATGACAAGAAGTAGTCTTTTTTTCCTGTTCATAACAGAGTTTAACTGTTATTACAAGTACTAGGAATAGGTACTTTATAATAGTACCTTTAGTGTTAGTAGGTCAATGGCCGCATGTTCTGCACAAAATTAAACAAATTTATTTAAATCAGTTCTCAAGATGTAATTTACATTTAACATCTTAAGCAAATGTTATTACCACCAGCAAAGGCAAATTAATGATAATGTTTGTGTCCATGCCCAATCATGTGCGTTTGTGCACATGAGCATGTGTTGTTTGTTATGTTGGCAAAATGTCTGATGACCCATTAAATGAATTTAAATGAAACTCTCAAAAAAAAAATGTATGTGCATCTACAGATTAACTTTTGAAGTCAACAAAAACTAATATGTCATCCCTTTTCATCCAAAGAGCTTAGTTTAAAACTCTGACATGAAAGGTGGCTTACTTGAAGTAATGTTATACCTTTAATAAACAAGATTACATTCAAATTTTTATTGTAGTCTTCAATGTGCTTTAATTACTTTTCGATCCTAATACAGATAATACAAAAAACATGACAATAACCTATGTCTTACTGAGTCCCTCATGGGAGGAACAACCCAATGGGATTTGAGATGCAGAAACTTTAAGGATGATTTAGAGCTTTCCTCTGAGTAAAGACATCCCCTGTAAAGCTCTGATTTCCTTCGTCTTTAACGTCAGATGCTACGTTCCCACATCTATTTTTTTTTTAATTTTCTCCAAGCAGGAAAAAAAAAAAGCAGAATGAGTCCAAGAAAATAGAAGGTTGCCATCATTTACTTCATGCTGCACTGAATTTTTCAAAAGGGAAACTTCTTTTTAAAAAGTTTATTAACAAGAGCTGCTTTCACCATTTAAGTTTAGGGATCTTGTTTTTTAGTGTATTTAGATGACATTTACTTTGTTTAAACCCTTTAATATTGATTAAATATTATAAATGAATGTAAATTATTTTCTATAGAGAAACATGAACACATATATTTGCACATATGACCACATCTATTTCATCAGCTGAGACTGAAACAGTTTGCCCTTACTCTTTTTCATCAGACCTGATAAATATATTGGTTTTCAAAAAAGTGTTTATAGTTGCACATAGGTACTTTTTGCTTATTTACATTTTTTCCTATCCTAAATGCCTTTATAATTGTGTCAATATTATTTTGTATGGTGATTTTTTTGCGTTAAAGTGATGATGGGGTGATGATTCAATCTTTACCATCTAGGCAGATTGCAGGAGATCAAGATGCTTCCATTGTGTATTTATTTTTCACTGGGAGGATCACAGACTTCTGTGGGAGCTCAGTTGTCATATGTATAGCAGTCCCTTATTTCCTGTAGTAGATATGAAGTTATGCAAAGCATTCTGTCTTTTCACCTCTCTTGAACTGTATTTCCTACACAGCTGTGTCGCTACGTTGAAGCTGTCTGATTTTTCTCATTTGTTACAATAGGCTCTCTTGTTTAATAGTTTAGATCTTTTCAATTGGGATTCTGTGTGTCAAGATCTGTCTGTTTTGTGTTTTTCATTGTAGCTTTCTGTGATTTTTTTTAATTTTGTTTGACCTGTGTTTCCATCTTCCCCAGTGTTTTTCCCCTCATGTAGTTCTGTTCAGGCTCTCCCACTGTCGCCTATTCTTCATCGTCTTCCCCAGGTGTGCCATTGTCCATCACTGTCATCTTATCACTGTCTTGTCTGTGCATTGTGCCTTGTAAGCTGTTCTTGCTCGTCTCACTTGAATCTTTTAGTGCTTTTTTTCATTTAATGATTTTTTTGCAGCCATGTCAGCCTTTCAGTTGTTTAATAAATAATTTTCTTTCAAGTCTCTTTTTGAGTTCGGGTTTTGCATTTTGGTTCCACCAATCTCAAAAACATGATATTGTGGTTCTTAAATTAAAAAAGCTCCAATCTAATAAGATTTATAGTTATTTAAGTGCTGTTTATATTTTATTTTCATTAATCTAATCTTAATTATCTTTTTACGGAGTTCCACTTCAGAACATACAAACTTTGGTTTCAGTGATGATATAGCTCAATTTAATATAAAACCCAAAACGGTAAACGAGAGGCTCAGAGAGGAAACTGGCAGCAGAATATTTTCCACAAACAGACTGTTGTTCTCCACAATAACACCCTCCTGCCTTGTTGTCTCTTTGTTGCTCTCTTGCGCAGACAATGATAGAGAATGCCGCTTTCTATTTGCCTCTTTCATATCTTTTGCCTCCATGTCTTTCAAGCTGGTTTGTCTCGTCTCCTTGTCAATCTTTCCAGATTCATTGCTTTTGTGGCAACCCATTTTGTCATTGTCAAGTCAGCAGATTATCCTCTATCGTGGTTCAAAAACCTGGCATCTTCTCAATCTATTCTCTTTCCCAAAGCTTCCTGTTTTTTCCACACCTTTACTGGCCTTTTTCCTATTTTCCATCAGCTTGGTGACAGAACTTGTCGACATGGAGTCTATCCCACCAGCTGAAGGCAAGCCGCTTGAGCCTGTCACAGCCTGCCACATCCCAAAACAATTTGCCCAGCAACATAACAACCAGCTCCAGCACTGACCCAGAAAATCTGCGCTTAAAAATGACAGATCTTTTGCAACTATTTACCAAAATTGCTGTGCAATTTAACAACAATTTCAAGCCCCTTTTCACTGTTCTGCTGGAAAGAAGAATAGGGCTGTGTGATAAGGGAAGAATGAATAGGGAAGTGGAGAGATTAAGGTGGGAGAGAAGATATAAAATTAAAAGGAAGTGTGATGAAAGCAGGATTTCTAGAATTGTGCTGCTCGAGGTGGCTGCATGTTGGAGTAGCTGTTACTTCATTCTGGGATATTGCTTTTAAAAACTTTATTTCCTATTTTTTCTGGATGTAAATGGCTTTTATTGGATGATTACTTTGTCTGGTATCGGATGCTGTGCAGCTGGAAGGATTTTTACTGAAACCTTTTTACTTTTGGACATTTGTTATGAAGCATAACCATGACTACAAGGTAGTTTTTACAACCGGGAGCAGCTGATTAACATCTCAAAGCTCAAATATTACCTCAAATACAGCGCCAAATCCCAAATGAGTTGTAAAGGAGGTGCCGTGGATGCATCTCCGTCTACCTGGCGGAGGTGCTCGAGTGTGGACGAGGGTGGACGGATCAGCATCTGCAGCCAGTTTCTTCAGATCAGCTGCAGGACAGACTGCTGCAGATTCTTCCTTCCCACCGCATCGAGAACATCTCTTAATGAAACCAGGATGATGAGTTACAACATTTAATTTCCCTTTGGGATTAATAAAGTATTTTGAATTGGATTGATTTGAAGAGTGATCTGCAAGGTGAAAATGGATTTGGGAAAATAAAAATGGAGTTAAATTACAACAAAGCAGATAATGTTGTAGGAGAGCTGTAAAGTGTGACTGGGAAGAATTTCTGAAAAATAGCATTTTGCATTGCTATTTTTTAAAATTCTATATATATATATATATATTTTTTTTTTTTTTCCCCTACAGCAAGTCAGGAGAATAAAAACGAAGAAACAGAAAAACTGAGTGAACAGATTAAATAAAGACAAGACATGTAGTAAAAACAAAAAAAACGCTTGGTCATTAATGGTTTGTTGGAATATCTCTCAAACCTAAGCTCAAATAAAGAACAATCACAGTCAAATTAGGCATTTCTCACACCCAAGTATTTGCATAGCACAAAACAGTCTCCATTGTGCTCAGTACTGAGAGAATATTGAAATTTGAGATGCAAAACAGGAGGAGGAACAATAATTTGAGGGGGAGAAATTAAAGCAAATTCAGAGCAAACAAAGTGTTGCATTGTGGAGTGAAATCAGCCAAGGCGAAACTCTGCACACGGTTAAATAGATGCAGGATTCTATGCTGATGAGAATGTGCAGAGCTGTTACTGCAACAAGGCCTCTGTTTAGAATAAAAGCCTTTTGTGTCATCACTTGCAAAAGCCTCAGTGACATATTGCATCAGGAAGGGACTTGAGCAACAAACGCTAAGTTGTAGCGTTAACTGCAGACTTGTAGGAACGTGCATTCACTGCCTTTTTCTTTTATTTGTGCATTGTGAGACATTTCACACAACAAAACAATGGTTGTGCCTTTTTTTCCTAGTTACAATTACCTTGAATGAGCCTTGTTAGAAATGGCTTTGTCTCCTTATTTCACTTCAGAGTCTGCCGGCAGCCAGTCGGCCTCCCCCTCCCAGCTCTGCTGCTTCATAAGAGCCCCACACCTCGACAGGATAATCACAGCAGCCATGTAGCGTATCAAGCACAATTGCGGCCCTGTTTTGTCATTCATCAAATGTTTTCCCGGCTGACATTTTCTCGGTGTGATGTTGAAGACGAGGCTGATTTTGATGAAAGTGTTTGAAAGGTCAAGTTCAAATTGAGCCGTGTTAAAAGCTGGCTTCCAGCCCTCATTGCAGAGTTTCAGATTGCAGAAGACTGACTTTTCAAACAGACTAACCCTTGGTGACTTGACCTTTTTATTGTTTTATTCCGATTAGTCAAAGTTTAACTATATATTTTTCTTTTTAATTGCAGAGTGGAAGAAGATGAGGCTGGTGAGGATCCTCACGATAATTCCTCTGAGGTAAAATAAAAAGTTTTGTTTTTTTATTCACTGTTTTTTGTCCTATATGGTAATAAAATGTACTTTAATCTAAAGGTTTTACTGTTACATTTTATATTTATTATTAGTTGTAGTTTTTTTATTAGCTTTCATTACACAAATGTTCTTCTAAAGAGCACCTCATGGAACAAGATTGTCACAAAACTAGCCAATGTGATATTTAATTGTACAGTAATTTAAATCTAATACAATGGCCATGATGTTTGGACTAAAGCATATTTTACATTGGAATTTGAACTTAACTGATGTCATAAAAACTCCGTGTTTTTTTAGGAGCAGCATTAAAAGAGAAATATGTTTTTTGTTGTTTTTTTTCTTTTGGCTGCTCTCTTCTTCAGGGGTCGCCACAGCAAACTAAGTCGCACGGAAATATGGCAATTTTTTTTTTGCCAGATGCCCTTCCTGACGCAACCACAGACCACCAAGCTGCCACAGCCCTCTGTGTGGAGCAGAGAGCTGCCATCTAGGGTGCCCGGGGGAGCAGATGGGTGTTAAGGGCTTTGCTCAAGGGCCCAGAGCAGGACAAATGAGGGTGGAGGCAGGTGTGGCTGCTTCAGCTATCCCACCCACATTTTGATGTTGTCGGTACTGGTAGTTGATCCAAAGATCTTCCAATCACAAGCCCACCTTCTCTAACCTCTGCACCACCACTCCCTCCAAAACAGAAATATGTTTAAAAATAATTAGAAAAAATGTTTAGGAGATCAGAAGGGAAGTGTCTGTAAAGTTAAACTGACATGAGGCTGGAATATGTAACTTTTTTTAGACTGAAAAATTGAAGTCCATCCATCCATCATCTTTACCCGCTTATTCCTTTCTTGGTCGTGGGAGTTGCTGGTGCCCATTTCCAGCTATCATTGTATGAAGGGCAGGGGGGGAATGGAGTTGTCCAGGAAATTGTTAATTAACACATTAACATGTCCATAATCACCTGTTATAGTAATCTCCTGTGAAATATTTAAGACTAGTCAAAGAAGACAAACAATACAGCCATGTTTGCCATTTACCTGGCCTTAGTTAAACAATTATTGTTTTTACTAATTAAATTTTAATTTAAGTTTTCATTAATTATTGTGGCGGCTGTGGCTGAGTGGCTAGAGTAGTCATCCTTCACTGCAAGAGTTGGGGGTTTGATTCCACCAGCAGCCACATGCCGAAGTGTCCCTGGGCAATACACTGAACCCCTCATTACCTCCGATGTGTGTCCCATCGGTGTATGAATGTGATAAAGCACTGATTAGTCTTTGTAGAGATCTAGTAGAGTGCTGTATGAATGGGCAAATGAGGACACAGATTGTAGTGTAAAGAGCTTTGAGTGTCTAGAAAGGTGCTATATAAGTACAATCTATTTACCATTAAGTTCCAATAGTATCCATACAGTATTCAAAGCTTGTACCTCCTGATAAACAAAATTTTTTATCTATGTATTTGCACAAACAGTACCCAGCAATACAAAGATACAGTATACCATTATGTAGTGTACAAGCTGTTAAAGGCCTACCACTGTCTCTCTCTTATAGTACATGATCTGTTCAGCTTCTTTCATCTTGTTTCTGTTTATTTCTTACTCCGCCTAATATCAAAGTAAAGAGAGTTCAAGAGGAGGAACTGCACCTTGCCGTTTTATAACTTACTATGTGTACTACATCCTTGCCAGCTCAGCTAATGTTTTTTTGTGTCACCCGTATACAACCCTTTCATTCACCATCAATGCAAACCAAGTAGCTCCCCTTTAATCTTCTTTGACGTGACTTTTATCTGCACGTTCTGAATCTGTGAATCTTGTTAACGTTGAGTGGACAAATAATGAAAGCTGGGATGAGGTAAGGCCAAGCTTTAAGGCTCTTCATTATGTAAATGGTTGAATATAACCTTGCCACGATGTGTGTCCAGGACATTTAGAGGTGTGGTCTTTAGCGGAAATGAATCTTTTGGGACCTGACAGTTTATGAGATCAGGAATTTCCTATACGAGTGCAAGCGTGGGTCATTAGATGTGGTCCACAGGTCTTAAAGGAGAGCAGGTTTTCACAGTATCTGTAAGCCACTTCAGAGGGTCTCGGCGTGACAAAAACTAATATGGTTTCTCTTGTGGTCCACAGGTTTTTTCAGAGAGGCCAGATGCAACATGGAGCCTCTGGCACCGTCTGGACCATCAGTATCCTTTCACTCCTTTTAGTTGAAGAATAAAAATACTTAGTCATGCACTGAAACACAATACTCATAACACACAAAACAACAAATCTTTAGTTATTCAAGCTGACAAATGAGGGTTTTGTCACAGTCTATTGAAATTAGTTTTTTCCAGCTTTATTCCTTTAGATATTTTGTTTTCAGTCCCAATAAAACTGTCTCAAATTAGACCTCAGGTAGCTACAGTTTTATTCCTAAATACTGAAGATTTTACCATTAGGCAAAAAATGATTGGCTCTCAAGCTTCAAAACACCTAGTCCGGAGGAAGCCACTAGACATAAAATCATTTATTTTAAGATTTTCTAAGACCAAATCTGCAAGGGTCAAAGTTTGTATGTTGTTGTTGCTTTTTTTACTTTGCTTCTCAGCCCTGTGCAATATAAGTTCATAGCATTTAACAACCATTTCTGCTTTATTTCAATTACTGTGATTTTTATTATTTTTATTTTTGTTCCTTGTTCTCTAAATGGGGTGTTGTGAGTAGCACCATTTCTTGACAGCCAAAATAACTTTGCATGTTAATTTTGCCACTGGAGGGCTGCATGCCTGTTTTTTTGTGGACTCTATTATCCACCTGCAATTACTGACCCATGTGAATGTGGCCATATTTTGCTCTAACACTTGATATTGTTGATGGAATATAAAACAAAAGCTGAAACATGAATTCAACAATTTTCAGCTTACTCCAAAGTGGAAGTAACCAGTTATGTTGGTGCTAAGATGGTGTCTTTGGCACGCCCCCTCCTATGTTGCCGGCCCTCTTCCTCGTCGACAGTCATGTCAAACTGGTTCAAAACCAAAAAAGTCCATGCTCAATAATCCAGGTATACAATCCAACAATTTTCAGTCAGGTCATCTGGACAGTTTCTTTTTTTGCTGAAATGTTTCACCTTCCAAAGACACCATCTATGCACCAACATACGTAACTGGTTTGTTCCCCTTTCGAGTAGGCTGTTTGGGGGAAGAATCAGTTTTGTGTTGTGTGTTTCCTTAACTGATGAAGCCTTCTGGATGGAAGGTGAAATGTTTCAGCAAAAAAAGAAACTGTCCAGATGACCTGACTGAAAATTGTTGGATTGTGTACCTGGATTATTGAGCATGGATGTTTTTGGTTTTGAAACATGAATTGTTTATTAAAATATTCCTTTAATGTAGACAAACCAATGAATATAGTTAAAGTTAGCATTCACCCCGATATTTTATGGCATATTATATGGCAGGACAGATTTATTCATTAAACTCTGATGCAGAAATGTGTCAAGACATACTATGTTTACATGGACATAAGTAACTGGATCAAACGGCCGTTCGGAATAAAAACGCGTCATGTCAACACCCCGTTCGGGTTATTTTTTGTTTATTCAGCGTGATCCGAAATAATTTGTGATCAGAACGAAACGGGTTAATAATATTAGCATGTCGGGGAAGCAAAACTGGTCGGTGAGCGACAGTATTTCTTCTAGAAACTTTGAAAGAGCTCAAAATGATCTGTATTACCTGTAGCTCAGTCAGGGAGTGTAGTAACGTCTCCACCATCATTAAAACCTGTAGCGGGTCCATTTTGGGTACTCAGGTTTGTTTATGTTCATCCCGGAAGTAAACCAGAAGTAGAACTTCTTCTTCTGTGTTTTTTTAAGGAGAGTTTACCACGCTGCGCATGTCAGTACTGCTGTTCAGAACAAAGCCCGCTACATGTAAACACTCGTCATGAACAGATTGTGTCCATGTAAATGATACATTTGAATTATTTAATCTGAAAACATTTCAATCTGGTCAACAAAAAAAATTGTGCATGTAAACATAGAAGTTAAAATACAGTTAAAAAAGAATTCAAGGAGATATTGGTAAATCTGAAAGTATTGTAAACTGAAATGTTCTTTACTGATGTTGTTTGGATCACATTTCCAAGCTCTGTTCCTTTGTGAAGAGAAAGAAACATTGATTTGACACTCCGTCAATCAGACTTTTATGGTATGATGACCAGACAGAAGCAACTTTTGACTAAAGGACTCAATGACCTACTATGAATACGACATAAAGACAAAGCAATTAAATGTACAAAAATTGATGGAATGATCATCAAACCAAAATAAGTTGAATCTGATGAAACAAGGTCAGACATTTTTAGCCCAGTTTCTCTATCAATTATGTAGTAAACCAGGAGCTGAGTGTCAGTGTGTTAATACTAACCTTTTAGTCAAATATGATGATGGCAGGTTCATTCTATGGAGGCATTAATCCATGAAAATGCATAAAACATAAAATATTTCATTTTTACTGTAGAGTGAAACTGTTCAGCTGGTTATAAGAGACCGGTCAGGACCTTTCAGCTGATTTTCATGAGGTCTGCATCGAGTTTAGGATAATCTAATTTTAGGATTTACTGGCCTCATGACTTGGCCTAGTGTTTAGTAGGAAACAAATTGTTTTACTCTCCGCCAAAACAACAAGATGCAGATCTATGAAAAAACATACAAACTACTCATTTGTCTGTTTGATGTGTTGGCAATTTAAGTTTTCTGTGCATTTAAAATAAACTGAATAAGGGGCGATAATGTTTCGTTTAGCGTTGTATTATTAAATCAAAATCATGGACTGACACTGTGACTGCTCTAGCCATCAGAAAGCATCCATCGAAACATCCATCCATTATCTTTACCCGCTTATTCCATTTTGGGTCACGGGGGTCGCCGGTGCCCATGTCCAGCAATCATTGTGTGAGGGGCGGGGTACACCCTGGACGGGTCGCAAGTCCATCACAGGGCCACATAGAGACAAACGAGACAAACAACCATTCACTCTCTCACTCACACCTAGGGACAATTTAGAGTTACCCATCAGCCTAACATGCATGTTTTTGGTCTGTGGGAGGAAACCGGAGTACCTGGAGAAAACCCACGCAAGCACGGAGAGAACATGCAAACTCCACCCAAAAAGGCCCCTGGATCAGGGTTTGAGCCAAGGATGTGCTCGCTGAGAGGCAGCAGCTCTACCAGTTGCGCCACCATGCTGCCCTCCATTGAAACAAGATAGTCTAAATGGGATGCAAAATGCAGGGGAGATTTGTGATTTGCATTGCTTTGTTTGTTCAATTTCTTGTTTTTAATCTTTTGCGAGTTATATTTGCATATTGTTGTTTATTGTTTTTGTGCTTATTTTGCATCTCTTTGTTTATAGTCTGGGTGTTTGTAGCCATTCAGATTTTAGGGTTAGGATAATCTATTGATTGGCATAGTTTTGGCTTTTTTACCCACAAGACATTGGCTACCATTTTAATTGTTTTAAGCCACTTGATACAGACATATGAATAGTTCTTATATACATGTAAAGACACTTAAATCAAGTGAAGAACCAATGTATGTAATGATCTCGGGGAACCCAGATTAGCACAAGACCCGGGACGAGACAAGACTCCAAGATAAAAGTTTAACAGTGTTTATTATATACAGTGGGTGATAGTATTTACAGGTGCACTCCTAGAACCCAGGTCTGAACGTTGAGGTGGAGCATCGAGGTAATCCAGAAAAGTGTTCCAGAGATGGAGGATCAGGCAGGGCAGGTCAGGCAGGCAAGTGGCTGAAGGGCAAGGCGCGAGGAACCAGGAACAGAACCAAAGCAGAACCAGGACTGGACAGGACCCAAGGAGGGAGGATAACATGGAAAAGTATAATGCTCCAGCGGAGAGTAGCACTCGACTGCAGCCTTAAGTAGTGGTGACTCTCATAGATCAGAGTCTGAGATTCTTTATTGTCATTTATTATGTCTTTATTGTCAGATGGTCAACAGCTGGTGGCAATTAGTGGTCATCTTGAAGAGAGGAGCTGCAGATGGTGGTACTCTTGCAATGTAGGTTCAATATAAAAAGATAACTTAACAAATAACCAATTCAATTGATATTTTAGCCCATCTTACCAGCAGCTTGATGCAAAGATACAATATGTTCCTGTTTATTATGTTTAATATACAAACCGGATTTCAAAAAAGTTGGGACACTAAACAAATTGTGAATAAAAACTGAATGCAATGATGTGGAGTTGCCAACATCTAATATTTTATTCAGAATAGAACACAAATCACAGATCAAAAGTTTAATCTGAGAGAATGTATAATTTTAAGGGAAAAATCTGTTGTTTCCTAATTTCATGGCGTCAACAAATCCCCAAAAAGTTGGGACGAGTCAATTTTTACCAGTGTGTGGCATCTCCCCTTCTTCTTACAACACTCAACAGACATCTGGGGACAGAGGAGACCAGTTTCTCAAGTTTAGAAATAGGAATGCTCTCCCATTCATGTCTAATACAGGCCTCTATCTGTTCAATCGTCTTGGGCCTTCTTTGTCGCACCTTCCTCTTTATGATGCGCCAAATGTTCTCTATAGCTGAAAGATCTGGACTGCAGTCTGGCCATTTCAGTACTCGGATCCTTCTCCTACGTAGCCATGATGTTGTGATTGCTGCAGAATGTGGTCTGGCATTATCGTGTTGAAAAATGCAGGGTCTTCCCTGAAAGAGATGACGTCTAGATGGGAGCATATGTTGTTCTAGAACCTGAACATAGTTCTCTGCATTAATGGTGCCTTTCCAGACATGCAAGCTGCCCATGCCACAAGCACTCATGCAACCCCATACCATCAGTGATGCAGGCTTCTGAACGGAGCGTTGAAAACAACTTGGGCTATCCTTTTCCTCTCTGGTCCGGATGACATGGCATCCCAGTGTTCCATAAATAACTTCAAAACGTGACTCATCTGACCACAGAACAGTCTTCCATTTTGCCACACTCCATTTTAAATGACCCCTGGCTCAGTGCAAATGTCTGAGCTTGTGAAGCTTGCTTAGAAATGGCTTCCTCTTTGCACTGTAGAGTTTCAGCTGGCAACGGTGGATGGCACGGTGGATTGTGTTCACTGACAATGCTTTCTGGAAGTATTCCTGAGCCCATTCTGTTATTTCCTTGACAGTGGC